CCTTGAGATGACTCACCTACATACTAGGGTTAATTTAGTATGAGTAATTGGGATTCATTATGAAATGAGATCAACTTTAATGCCAAAACGCTACAAATGAATAACGTGCCAACATCCAAGACTTGTTATCTTAAATATCGTTGGTTCGTTTATTAATTACAGACTCAATGAAAAACCTAGTTCCATTGGTTTAACTTCTCACTAATAACTTTTTTCAAACAAAAAGAAAATATCAAAAGGGTTTTGTGGATATTATAATAATTTCAATAGTTGAGATCATGGGTCAATTGAAGCTAGATCACCATGGAAAACCTGGGAGCACTGGACGGCCGTTTCGTCCCGTTGTGGGACTCCTCAACAACGTGCATCCACGGCCTCGCCTCACGGGAGTCGAACCCAGGACCTATCAGTCTCGCGTGCGAGCGCTTAACCACCATGCCACTGAGTTGGCCGGCATCCAACAGTGTTAATGTCTAACTTCGACTCATGATCTTAACCATTCGAAAAGAAAATACTCCAACCGCTCAACGAGAGAATAAACAAATCAGACCAAAAAGTTTTCTCTCTTAGCTCTCTCTCTCTCTTATTTTTATTATTGTTATTGTTATTATTTACATTTATGATGTAAAATCCAGTTTATTTACATAAATTAATATCGGACAACTTGTATTTGTTTACAGTATGATTGTTGTTATCATTATCATCTTATTTTGTTATTGTTGGTAACGATGACGATGTTTACGTCACCGTCAGTTATGTTTTGTTTTGTTTCTTTAGCTCTAACCATTAATGTTGTTATTGTTGCCACCATCGTTCTTCTCTGTTATGATCTTTGTTGTGATTATTTCTATAATCATTATTGTTCCGAGAAATGACATATAAGTAGCTAGAAAACAAAGTCCTCTCTCTCTTTCTGTTTTTACTTTCTCTCCTCGATTTACAAATCGAATAATTTCCCGATTAACTTCATTTTTCCTTGTACTACTTTGATTTTGTTAATTATAGAGTTGTCTTTGAAGCATTTTTCTCGAGTTCTGTAGAATGATTGAGTGAGTAATGTTGAGATTATACATAGGATACTTGGCAATTGTGACAAATCGGTTGATGATGAAGGTTGCGAATCTTTATTGTGTCTCTAGCCATCACCTACTACGGTGACCGATTCTTGGTAGTTCAGAAGTAGGTTAGAAGAAAGTTAATGGTATCCAAATTAAAATTTGGGGGCAATTCATGAGGTCATTAACCATTGCTGTTTGAGTTATGTTTGCCGATGAAGATTACCTGGTTGAGTTATGCTTGCTAGACAACCATGGTCAAATGGTTGAAGACTTTGAGTGATATGACTCAGAATCGTTCAGGTTGACTCAGATGTATTCAAACTTTGTCTTCTTTCCTTTGGGAAGGGTCCCAAAAATATCCCTCATCAACGTCCCCAGTGGCCCGGAAATTCCAGAAAACGTTTTTTCCAATCAGCGTTTGATCAGATCTCAGAAACGTCTAGGAAATACAGGATCATGTGCCGCAGTTCCGATTGAATATTTACCTATGCTGTTGTGGTGTATACTACTTATCTTGACAGATATAAGTAGTATGTAGCACCAATAGAATGTGGAAAACCTGACAACAGAAGGTTGGGATGATCGAATAGAAGAGAATGGGAACAGAGAGCAATTGTTATGGCAGTGAAGGAACGATGAAGTTTGAGACAATTGGTGGTGGATTTGCAAATAAAGTACTGAACGTACGGTTTTCACATTTGGTCAAAGAAATCTTTAACACATTGATTGTCCCCACCTGTGTTCTCGTTCAAAACAATAACCATATTTATTATGGTTTCAGGAATTCACAGAAGTTCAAAGGAAGTGTGTAACTCTATAGATATCCTCGTTTTTCTGTACATAAATGAACTATGAAGTAAAGTTTTTATTTGCAATTCGCGCCTTCTCTTTAATGTTTTAGTTGACGTGTAAAACAAGTTGGGGATATGCGGACCGGCTAGGAAGAGAATTTAAGCAAGACTTTTATTATTATTATTATCCAATATAATATTATTATTACAATATAGAATCCTCAGCACAAAGTATTTCAACAAGTATCCTTTTCTTATTACTTGATCGATCCCGACAATAAATATTGAAATCTTGTAGTGACAATGAAAAGTCGCTTTTTCAATCATTTGACAAGGATTCTTAAGTTGTGATTACACTGTAGTTATGCGACATGTCTAGACTTAGTAGGAATCGAAGACAGTCCACCCTGCCAATTAGTGATCGCTAGTTTGATGTTATCAGCTCAGGAAAAGACATGAATAATGTTCATTCTTGATCATATAAATCAATCAACTGTCTGTGACTATCAATAAAAATCAAAGTCAGATGCACAAGTATATTAGTCTACCAATTAAACAAACTATATACCACAGAGTGTAGATAAACGAGAAAACCCATAGATCCATGTTTTCCTGATACCTTCTTTGAAACATTTGGCAATGATCATAAATTGAATCACGAAATAATCTTAGTTAGACCACCACCATTTGAAGCACTAGGCAACTGTTCTGTCGTAATAAGAGATTCCTTAGCATTTCTCATCCGCAACCATACATCCGGGGGTCAAATTCAGAGTCTTCATTCTCATGTTCTAGTGCCTAACTTCTAGACCACTGAACCGTCATTCATTAGTGTGCATATCTAACTTTAAACTGCCATTGTCTGCCTCATCTCGGAAAAGGTTGAACTCTAATGTTCATAGCTTCGCACTAAAACTCCAGAAGTTTAATCTTGAAGCTAGTCACTAGTGTGGACATGATCATTATTTGTATAGAGAAAGGGGGATTTGTAGGGATCGTAAAGTTCCCATAGTTTAAATCACGAACTGATCACAGCATTCTATTCGTCGTAAAGCTGGAATTGTTGAAATAAAGTAAAATAAACTCTTCAACTTTGGGAAATATTTACATGATTTGCACATTCTTAAATAGTTTAAAATGTATTTTGTACAGCTGATAGTGCAGTGTGTCATGCATATTCTAGTCAGTTTACCAGTCAACCGACTCTTTGATACTATCAGAATTTCCTTTGCACTCCCATTCCCGATTACTCCAAAAGATAAATAATACAAGTGAGATATATGTGGTTGAAGATCAGCAAAGACTGATCGAAGCAAACAACTTATATACTTCAGCTAATTACCCTTCATTGGAGAATAAGACCGGAATCTAACACTATTTCCTGGGATCTCTAAGTGCTATTCATCTTTTTGATGTTTGCCTTAAATTCCTGGTGCACCATGTCCTCTGATCTGCGTCTTTTCCTCTTATCTTGACAACTTCAAGTTAGGGCTTGTTATGTGTTGCAGTTTGATGATTTCTGCAAAATGTGACTTATCCAGCCTCAGCATCTTTCCTTAGAATTTCTATTCAGCTAATTTGTTCTCTGTCACAGTCAATTATTGTTGATGGTCACTTGACAATGGGTCTTCAGTATCTTGAGTAGACAGTTGTTTATAAATGCTCGTATTTACTTAATGATGGTTGTAGCAGTTCTTCAAGTCTCAGCTCCGTAAAACAACTGTTTTGACATTAATGTTGAAAATTCTGACTTTGTTGTTGTTTGACAGTTGTTTTGAGCTCCAAATATTCTTCATTTGTATGAATGCTGTCCTCACTTTGGGAATTCAAGCCTTCGCTTCTGCATAAGATCCACATTGTTTATCAATGGTACTGCCTCGGTATGCATAGGCTTCTACCTCTTTTAGAGCTTCACCATCAAGTGTGATTCCGTTCCAAGAAAGCAACATATATGCGCATAAACACATGTACAACGACTTTACAAATAGTGTAGAAAACCTAGCACACTAAACGAACAACTGACCACTAAGAAAAAAGCCTTTAATTATGGTCAAATTGAAATTTGGCTCTCATGGAGATATTTAAGATAAAGAATTAGAAATTTAGATTTATATTATAGAAAGTAAAATAGCAGAATAGGATATGTGTTCATGAATTTGTAGCTCAGCTGTTTTACAATATTTAATATGTGTACAATGTCAAGCAGTTTGAGGCATTTTTCCATCTATTTACTGAGTAATGCATGTAACAGAATAATTTTCGCTGAGGTTTTCATTTCAGGCTCTAAGTTTCCCTTCGTCTGTTTTTTCTTCATAAGGCAATGTTGGGATGCTCTAGAAGACATATGTGGATAACTTCAGATAGATAAAAAGAAGTCGTCAGTGAAAATCATGCACTAATAATCAGCACTCACTCACTAAGTAGCCGGAAAAATGTTCTAAATGCTAGATATTGCATATTTTAAATGTCAGAAGAATGATGATTTATCACACACGAAAATAACCAGTAAATAAATTGTTGTCTAGGAGTTTGAGTATCCTCAATACTCCGAAAATGTCTATCATTGAAGAAAAAGCACTACTGATGAAACCTTTTTATCCTATCCATGTACTTATTTAACTTCCTAATTGATAAAATAATGAAAATAATAGGGATGATGTGTTGAGAAAAAATTAAAGAGGACTTCACCTAAACACGGCATTTTTCCATGAAATAGTCATTGACTATTAGACTGATCCACTTCTATGGATGCAAACTAATCGGTTAGGGTTCACTCGATTATCGTAACCAATGGTTAAAGAATCGATCACAATAGTGCAGATTCATCTCCAACTTGTTTTCTTACTTAGATCCTGAGTTCTAAAATTGTCTTATACATGATTATCCCACGAATTTCTTATTTCCTCGTGAATCATCTTGTCTATTTCTAGTGTGTTTCTGTTATTAGATCTTTTTCCTTGATAGTTTCACCACTCTGAGCTGATATAGTATAATGATTTAAATTGATCCACACTAGGTTCTACTCTGCTTCTAGCTACGACTAACTGACCTATTCCTACTAACGTGTGAATACTTATCAATTTGTATTTATGCTTCAGTTAAAACCTTTATTGATTTGTTTTTTTTGTATTTTCCGCCCTCCATCTTAAAGTTCACTGTAATATACCAGAAGCTATGGATTCTGAAAATTCATTAGTGATGACATGTGAAAATCTTGCATACACGTCATCATCGTCACAACAACAAACATCGTTGTCATCCGCAGTAATCGTAGTACCGGCAGTAGTATCATCATCAACAGGAACTTCATCTTTGACATCAGTGATGACCACTGCAGCTATCACAACAATACCAACTACAACAACATCACAGACAACAAAGACGACAGCCACGTCAAGTACAAATGGTACCTCTTCAACTGCAAACAATAATAATAATACATCATTAGCTCAAAGACAATACTATCGATCACATTGTGCACGTCCCAGATTCACTTATGCTAATTTAATACGTCAAGCAATATTAGAATCACCGGGACAACAATTATCATTAAGTGCAATTTACGTATGGTTACAACGTGAATTTGCTTATTTTCGACAAAATGAAGCTACATGGAAAGTGAGTTATTTGTTCTTGTTTGTTTTGTTCTTTCGATTTCATTATTCAAAGAAAATAATTAAGGAAATGTGTTAATAATAAAGGAAACACATAGTTGTACTCTGATTGATCAATCACTGCATATTAATCATTTTCATCTTTGGATTAGTCTTTAGAGATGATAGAATCCAATCGATCAAGTTTCAATCCAGGCCATTCGTTTAAGTGGTTTTACATTGGATTTATTATGTCAGATGATGATTAGCGGTAAGTGGTAGGAACTTCTCCCTTGATCTGCGTTTCGCGTTGGTTATGTTACTTGTTAGCACAAATAGGGTATGTCTACAAATTCGAGAGTACTTTGATGCTCTTCAAGAGATTCTCATCTACATCAATCATTGTTATTCTTATAGATATTCCCAATGAAGTTACTCGTGACGTAGCGAACTTTTTTTGTAAGGGGTTACTACCGATCACCTTCAACCATCTAACAATAAATGTCTATCGTCTATGATGAAAGATTTATTGCTTGGACAAAGGATTTTTAGCAGTCTTTATATTCCTAAAGTTGAATGATTTAATGTTCTGCAGATGATTAATAGTCATCTATGAACAAAACTCCCATGGGCTCCCTACTTTTCTAAATTTATACTATTTCCGTTATGCAAAAACATGATGAAATTCTTATGATTCAGTTAATAACTATCCAACTAACAAAACATGTATAATGTTAAGTAAATTACCGGGATAAAACGAAAAAATGATGGGCATGAAACAAAATTGAAGCGAGCGGTGACCATCTATCCTCCCATAAGAGTGTCTATGTCCATATGTTTGCTATGAAATGCATGAGCGCAAGCTTATGTACCAGTGACATGCATGTAAAGCATAAGTGTTTGAAGATGGTAGTAAATACGAATGAAGGGAACAGTGACCACCTACCTCCCCAAAGGGCCGCCTCATGATGAAAGCCGAGATTCTTCGAAAGTCACGAGGCCGATGCCACTTCTAGCAATTAGAGAAACAATTTTTATAGGTAAATGGAACGTCCGGACAATGTGGGAAACCAGAAGGACCAGTTGAATAGCAACGGAAATGAGAAGATACAACTTGGCAGTGCTCCGAATCAGCAAAACCCATTGGATCTAATCTAGACAGCGAAGAGATGATTCTGTACTCTGGACACGAAGAAGAAATCGCTCTTCACACTCAGGGAAATGCTCTGATGCTGTCCAAAGAAGCATGAAATGCACTTATTGAATGGGAATTTCATGGATCCAGGATCATCAAAGCATCCTTCAAAACAAAGAATGAGGGAATCAAAATGAATGTTATGCACTCACTAATGATAGCGACGAAGACAATAAAGATAAGTTTTATGGAAGGCTGCAATCAATCATAGTGAAGTGCGCAAGAAGGGATTTCACCATTCCGATAGGACATATAAACGCCAAAGTCGGGATGGAAAATAACGGTTATAAAGATATTATGGGACGACATGGGCCGATTGAGAGAAGGAAACAAAAATGGAGAGATATTTGCAAACCTACGTGCATTCAACAAATTGGTTATAGGCGGCACAGTATTGCCAAGCAAACGCATAAACAATGCTTTATGGGTCTCACCGGATCACACCATGGAGAACCAGATAGATCATATTTGTATCAATAAAAAATTCCGAAGGACAATGGAAGACGCTAGAACCAGGGGCGAAGCTGATATAGCTTCAAATCACAACTTAATTGTGGCCAAGATGAAACTGAAGCCAAAGAAGCATTGGACAAACAGGATTACAAAGGTTCAATACGGCCTTCCTTCGACGTATTAATAAACTCAACGAATTCAAGATAACTTTCAACAACGGATTCCAAGCCCTAAAAGATATACTCAAAGAAAAAGAAACTACGATGGAGGATAATTGGAAATGTATCTCAGAAGCACTAACTTCAACATGTCAGGAGGTTATGGACTGCAAGAAGCATCACCATAAGGCACGAATCTTTATAGAAACCCCGGACAAGATCCAAGAAAAGAAAGAACAAGAAGACAGCAATTAACACCGGCCGAACAAGAGCAGAGGAACTCACGGCACAAGCTGAATACTCAGAAGTAAGCAAGCAAGTGAAGAGGAGCATCAGAGCTGACTATGTAGAAGAGCAGATAGGTCGCAAGAAAAGGAATTATCAGACAACTATATGACATGACGAAGAAACTGAGAGGGAAATATAGTAAACCAGAGAGACCGGTCAAGGACAAAGAAGGCTAGCTAATCACTGAGATCCAAGAGCAGAGGAACAGATGGATTGAATACTTCAAGGAACTCTTCGGTAAATCAGCCCCAATGAATCCACCGGACATCGAAACAGAACACACTGACCTTCCTATGGATGTCACTCCACTAACAACGGAGGAAATCAGGATTGCCATCAGACAAATTAAGGGTGGAAAGCAACATTACCTGACAACATACCAGCTGAAGCTCTGAAGTCAGATATAGAAGTAACTGCAAGTATGCTTCACACTTTATTCAAGAAGATTTGGGAGGAAGAACAAGTACCAACAGACTGGAAAGAAGGATATCTCATCAAGATTCCAAAGAAAGGAGATTCGAGCAAATGTGAGAACTACAGAGGCATCACACTACTGTCAGTACCAGGAAAGGCTTTTAATAGAGTGCTGCTGAACCAGATGACAGACTCAGTAGATGCCCAACTTCGAGATCAACAGGTCGGATTACGTAAGGATCGGTCGTGCAAAGACCAAATTGCGACACTCCGGATCATCGTGGAACAATCGAGTGAATGGAACTCGTCACTATACATCAACTTCCTTGATTATGAAAAAGCGTTTAACAGTTTGGATAGGAGAACACTATGAATCATCAACATCATGGAGAATTCATACGACGGACTATAGTGCGAAGTCGTGCGTGGGGGACAGCTGATAGACACATTCCAAGTGAGGACCTGAGTATAACAAGACTGCTTACTCTCCCCCTTTCTCTTTATTCTAGTGGTCGACTAGATTATGAAGACCTCGACATCTGAGGAGAAGCACGAAATACAGTGGGAAGCTCGGAATCAGTTAGACGATTTGGACTTTGCAGATGACCTATCTCTTCTATCCCATACACACGAACAAGTGCAGATGAAGACAACTACTGTAACAGCAGCCTCTGCATCAGTAAGCCTCAACATACACAAGGAACAAAGTAAAATCCTCAGATACAACACGGAGAACAACAACACAACCACACTTGATGGAGAAACTCTGGAAGAGGTGGAAAATTTCACGTATCTGGTCAGCATCATCGATGAACGTGGAGGATCCGATGCGGATGTAAAGGCGAGGATTGGCAAAACAAGGGCCGCATTCCTACAGTTGAAGAAGATAAGGAACTCAAAACAACTGTCAACCAATGTCAAAGTGATAATCTTCAATACGAACGTAAAGATAGTCCTACCGTACCGAGTTGAAAATTGGAGAACTACTACAACCATCATCAATAAAGTACAAGGATTTATATACAGTTGTCTACGCAAGATATTCAATGTCCGTTGGCCGGATACCATCAGAAACAGCCTACTGTGAGAGAGAACAAACCAGCTTCTACTTGAAGAGGAAATTAGAAAAAGACATTTGATGTGGATAGGACATATGTTGAAGAAATCATCAAACTGCATGTTGAAGTAAGCCCTAACTTGGAGTCCTGAAGGGAAACAGAAAAGAGGAAGATCAAAGAATGCTCAGAGTTGAGAATTGGAAGCAGACATGAAAAGATTGAATAGCAACTGGAAAGGATTGCTTAGGATAGAGTTGGATGAAGAATGTTGGTGAGCGGCCTATATTCCTCGACGAGGGGTAGCAGGCGTAAATAAGTAAATAAGTACAACAACCAGTTACATGTAATACATCTTTCATCCACTCAATAGTTGGTGGATTAATTGCGCACTCAAGTCACCGCTGAATATAATCCAATATATTATTCCTATGAAGTGTTCCTATCTTATGATAGACTATTCCATATCACCTGAGTACAATTTTTAAATGATACTTTGTATCAATACAGTTAGGTTCTGTCATACTCCAGTTATCTTTACCACTTGTATTGATCAAGCTGTGAATAAAAAATGAGCTATCTTTTCTTCTGTTGTATTTTATTGATGATATATTAGATGGTTGGAGGTAGTCAATATGTGAAATCCTGTTGAACCTAGGTTTTGTGCTCTTTGGAACTCGTCAACAAGACACGGGAAGTTTTGAGAGAACTGACCCTCTTCTAAGAGAGTTAAGCCCGCATATATTTGAAATTTACGTTTAAATATGATACAATATCTTTACATTATTTCTCATTAGTTGTCTCACAGTGAACAGTTGAGACTTTAAATCTATCTCATCGCATTATTTTCCTTTACTGGACTCAGTGAGTGATGGGTGCTTACGGTATGAGTTAGATGAAGAATGAATAATTCGTCAGTAATGTACAACGTCTTTCTACGCTGACTGGATGGTTAAATTCATAGCTCGTTATTTAAAGTGTATAATCTTTTGATAGATTATTAAGCTTTAAATGTCTCACATAGGCTGATTTATATAATTAGAGTATTGTTAATATTGTTTACTTATCGATAATCTCTTACTGACTTACTTACATCTGTAACCCCTCATGGAGCATGGGCTGAAAACCAGGATTTTCTAACTTACTCTGTCCTGGGATCTCCTTTCTAGTTTTTTCCAAGTGGTATTCATTCTTTTAACGTCTGCATCCAATTCCCTATGCCATATGTTCTTATATCTGCCTCATTTCCTTTAATTTTGAGGATTTCAATTAAGAATTTGCTTTTTTATGCAGTTTGGTTATTTCCACAATCTGTGACCTATCCACTTTTAATGCGTTTTCCCAATTTTCACTTCAACTGGAAGCTGGTTTGTTGTCTGCCAGAGTATTGATAATTAGCCTAATGTATATATTATGTGTTCAATAATTAGGTGCACTGGTTCCTTTCAAAAAGATTTCTCTTTTGTGAAAAAAATTATGAATCTCATCTGCATTTCCATTACTTTTAAAGGATAATCTAGAAGTCAAACAGTTCAATTGCCTTATTGTTTCCTACAGAATTTTTCCAATCTTTCCAATTACATATTTTGCTAGAATTGTATGTACAGTAAACATTTTTCAAATTCAATTCGTCAAGAATCTTCTGAATATGTGTTCAGTGTTTTTATCACCTTGTCAGGTTGACATTGTTCCTCCTCATGACAAAAATTTTTAGTCTTCATGGTCCTCACTGAAACGTTTAGTTAACTTTCAAAAAAAACTTTTCTGTGGTGTACTATCTTCATAATCAGCCATAAATGTATGAGAAGTTTTTGATAGAGTTTTATACTGACTAACAGTAGAATTCAGGATGGCCCTTTCGTCCTGCTTCGAACTCGTCATAAGCTGAATATATTTATATCCCATTGTCTATATTTATCACATTAGGACATGAGCTCAGCATCGTTTGATTAAAATGACCAATATGTTATTCACCTAGTCATTAGCTTGTGCAATCAGTACAATGAGAAAATGTGAACCCTCAAAAAATAACTTCTTAAGTTTTGACTAAATCTTAACAACCTGATTACTTACTTACGCCTGTGACTCCTCGTGAAAGCCCTTCTGGGCGTGCTGCCAGTTCGAAGCCCTAATAGAGGAGGAGGTTTGGACATGGGGTCAACACCCACCATCCCTTAGAAAACAGCCTTGCTAAAAAACGTCGACCAGAAAAAATCATTTAAATCTTAACAAGCAATTACCGAATTCCCCTTATAATTAATAATAGTAATAATGGTGATAATATTAGTAGTATTGATAACCAAACAACTAACTTGTTTTTTTCTATTTCCCACGACACAACACATGGTGCGTTTGTGTTTTAAATGCAAGATGTTACAATATATTTATTAGTTGTCATCTACAGAATAAAAATAAACACTAACAACCAACAATATTAAATGTTTATTTTTTTAAAATTGTTTTTCTTTTCCATCCTCCCTTCACCCCCACTCGCTATATTACTACTTAAGTGATCAGTAGTAGTATCTTTTCAGAGTGATTAGTGTCTAGTTATGTTGTTAATAGGGTACTAGGAAGATTTTTTCAAATGTTGCTCTCTAATCTTACAAACATCGTTATTATTATTATTATTATTATTATTATTATTATTATTATTATTATTATTATTATTATTATTATTATTATTATTATTAACGATGTGTTCGCTTTCAATTTTCGATCATGCCAAGTTAAAAGCTTGTGCCTAATTAGTCTCCGTCACAATTAGAAGTAGATGAACACATATCTCTGTCTCTCTCATATGTGTAAGTACATCTATCACTGTTGTTATTATTATGACGATGATGGTGAACAAACATATAATGAATTCTATTACGGTGTTTAGTTATTAATTTACTTAGTTTTATTTATTTGTAGCCTCTATAAACAAACTGTCTTATGTAGAGAGATAGGTACAGTGGATAAAATGTATAAGTGAACACTTGTACACTTCTACACAAGTATGTAGATTGTCTAGATAGACAACTAATGATGTTTTCGTTTGTTGAAATAACTAATATTTATCATTTATATATGAAAGCAACATGTACGTATATTTGTCTATCTGCCTATCTCTATTTGTGTGTTTATTTGCATAATGTTGAATTGGGTTAATTGTTTGTATTTGCTATTATGTAACTAGAGTCAGTTTGATTTGAATAACATTAAATTTATGGAAGAAGTCAATTGAAGCTAGACAACCGTGGAAAACTTGGAAGCACTGAATGGCCACTTCGTTCTATTGTGGGACTCCTCGGCGGTGTGCATCCACGACCTCGTCTCGCGAGATTCCAACCCCGGACCTATCATTCTCGCTCGCGAGCACTTAACCTCTACACCATTGAAGTGGCTGGCATCCAATAGTGTTAATGTCTGAGTTTGTGGCTATTTGGATCCAATAATTCAGTCAATAACATGTTGACAGTTTTAACGAAATATACTACCTTAGTTGAATCTCAATATATTATGAATATTGACATTGGAATACAGCTGGTGCTACATCTATATTCGCCTGCAGAGAGATCCAAATACACATCATGGGATTTCACTGCTCTAATATTGCCATAATCCTAATGTGATAAAACTTGCTTCCTTTACATTTTTCCCATTTGTTTGACCTTTTTTTAAAACTTTTTTTATCATAAAAAGTTATCATCTCTCCTTTTTCCCCTATTTATATTAACAGAATGCTGTAAGGCATAATTTATCATTACATAAATGTTTCCGACGATTGGAAACCACATCTGGTTCAGTTTGGGTTGTTGATGAAAGTGAATATCAAAGACGTAAGGCTAAACGAGCAGTGTAAGTGAAATAACAGTAATAATAAACATTTTTGTTTTCTTTATGTGTGTATGGGTGATTGAGTGCAGTTTGCATACAAAACAAACAGACAGGAACAGTTGTAGTAACATAATGAAAACTGTACTCACTTTATACATTTGAAGCATTGCTCCTGTTTTTGTTAGGAACACCGAGTAAGTAATGTAAAGGTTTGATATAGGGTACTAAATAATTATGACAAATTGATTGATAAAGTTGCAAGTCTTTATCAAGTTAAATGGATAGAATATTTGTTAAGTATGCACGACCTACTGCAATGAGGAATGTTTGCTGATTTAAGAGTGAGCTGAAATAAAGCTAGGAATGGTCGTCAAACAAGAATTTGGGATAATTCTATAAATTTAATGACTGTTGGATTGAACTGCGTTGCTCTGTGAAGATTACCTGACTATAGTTCTCGCAATTATTGTGACTTATGATTACAGAGACTTTTTCTCCGCAATGAGTATGATCAGTCGAATAGATTTATTTGATGAAGCTAACTTACTATTGAACTTCAGATCATAAAAACACTACAACTAAACAAATTTTCTAATACAGTACACATTTTAGATCACCATAAAGATTGGTTGATTACTATGCACAGGAGTGGATTTAGAGGTGTTTTTATGAATTTCATGGTTGACATCACAGAATACTCTTAGTTAGATAGTTATTGAAGACCAGTAGACATTAGGACTCTTTTGTCCGGGGGGGGGTCGAGCTCAAGACCTTTGGTCTCAATCAAGAACCCTTAGTCTTCAAGGCAATTGACCCGGCATCGAATAATGTACATATTTAGCTTCAATCAACTCACGATATTACGCAACCACCTTCCACTAAATGCGGTCAATATTTATTTCACGCTCGACACAGTTGAAGTCTACTAGTCACAGACTGACGGAGAGGCGTAGTGTAATTCCAGATTTCTAAAAAAGCCTTTCCATGAAAAATGTATTATTTGACTAACAATAATTAAGGAATCAAATAAATTACTACCATTTCAGTGTAATATATACTTTTCCCACACGGAAAAAAACACACACCAAAAACACAGCAAACCACAAAAGAAATAATCTAAATAATGACTCGTAAATCTCATTCACCTTAGGGAGGAATCCAACCGTGTTATTGATTTCTTTGTCTGTATTTTTTTTTCTGCCGGTTGGCGAATACAACATTCAGAATTATGCGTAAACGAGAAACTTATTACAATTCACGTGTTTCTATTGTTCATTCATTCATTCATTGTATTTACTTACTTGCGTACACTTACTGTTCTGACTGTGAGTGGATTGAATGAGAAGAAAGCAGCTGATCGATAGTTTAAGTTTTAGAATCAGATTAAAGTAATTCATTTTTTTAAAGAGAGAGCATTGTTTGTTTTGTTAATGGAAGCTATGGATTATAAAATGCTTAATAAAAATACAAATGTGATGTAAATAAATACGCGCATAAATGATACTTTTTACTTTGAGCACAATAAGTGTCCATTTTTAGATTAAGATGGTAGTTGTAGCTACTTATTTAAAATAAGTAGTTTAGTAGTAGTAGCCATGTTCAGAAATGACTATCACTTTGGCTTTAGTCACCTAGTTGTCAGGATATGTTCAACTTAAGTTTAATGATGATTTTGAGTAATTAGTAAGACAAATCTACAGTCTTGAGTGGATTGATCTCCTCCAGAATATTCGAACCCCTGTTACCCAGTATTGTAGTACCCAAATAATTTTGTGCCATCATCTTTAACCATTTGATTGCGGTGATGATGAACATTCAAATATCATGGAGAATTGCGATCCTCTCGAAATTGTATATTCTAATTTGTTGTGAATATTCAGTAATTAATAAGAGTGATCTAAACATTCTACATGGACTATGTCAAAACTGTTTTTATTCCAAGCATACTTTATAATGAATTGCATAAAGGCTTGGGGGGTATATAAAACAACAAAATTCACTGTGTATTTGCAGTTCGTTCAGCTAGCCCAATCTACCTTTATTTCAACGTAGTCCGTTTTTGCCAAACACTTAATTATACAGTCATACTGATATTTCTTATGAAACAAATTATTCTCTAGCTCGTTAGAAATGATAGTCAATATGTGTAGTTTCGTAATTGCTCGGTAATAACTTCATCATATAGATTGTGATAAGTCTGCTAAATGAACGCTCGATTTTGTTTTCTAGCCGCTTCTAATGGCCACAAGTTTTCATCTATATGGCAACATGAACATAAGAGAAAAGACGCAAAGTGCGAAACCAACGCTTTGCTCTATAGTTAGGTACAGAAAATCAGGGTTACTTATAGTATTTCAAATGGTCTTGGAATTCCGGAATTTTCTGGAACCATACAAAATGTAGTAGCATGTTAGGTAAATATCCTATCAAAACTGATGCACATGATTTTGCATTTTCTAGATATTTCTGCAAAGTTTCCATTCAACGAGGATTGGACAAAACGTTTCCTGGAGTTTCTGGGCCTCTAGAGATTTAATGAGGGATATTTTTGGAATTCCTCTAACAGTTTACATCACAAGCTGACTTTTGTTAGACAGTCTTTGAAAATTAAGAAACTTTGGGTATCTATTTTGTTTTAGTACGGGATTCTTCAGAAGTGTGCATACTCAACCACACCAGGTCTCGATTTCAGGATCTTCTGATAAAACGACGATTGAATAAATGTTAAACAACTGGGCCGGCACCCCAAAGGTATAACGTCAGATTATATATATATATATGAACGAATTTCGGTTTCTTATTGTTTGGTTGATCCTGACTATAAATATTGAGTGATCACCAGTTAAATGTTAGCAGTTAAGGAATGGACATTTAAATAATGTTCATTCTTTTCAATGAATATTACCAGCCGCCACGATGTCTCTGATTGTACTTTTTTGTAACTTGTACGATGAAAGGTTGTGAACTTTTCATGGCGAGACTATAATTTATGCACGAAGCAATCAGATTTAAGATAACAGATTTCCAATTTTGGCGCAAAATTCATTCATCCTTTTGGTTAAATAGCATTATGGCATTTTAACGTATGGCAATTCGTGATGTAAACTTTAAATCGAATTCCTAACCTTAATCATTCACTGTAAATCATACTTCTAATTCATTACACTGGTTTATAACCCTCATTTAGTCCTAGGTAGTAGATGTACATTCTCAGGATCACTTTAGCCTTTTGCTCAAAGGTCATCCATAATTTATAGTCTCACCATAGATACTCCATATCAGTACTTTCTAATTTTCAATAGATGATTAGTTGTTACTATGACTATCATAAATTTTTCTTTCATTTAAAAATGTTAAGAAAAAATGTCAAATTTTTCACAACCCCCCCCCCGAAAAATTCATTTTGTTTACTGTTACGTAATTGTATTTTAAAATGGAATGAATTTCGAAATTTATCAATAGGCCTGTTTGAATTTAAGGTTTGTTTATTTGTTTGTTTGTGAATATGTAGGTGCATGTATGTTTCTATGTCCTTGAGCAAAGTAAATGATGATAATAATAATAAACTAGGAGAAAACAGTCCTTAAAGATTCGTGCCTACCTACCTACACACACACATACACATGTATGGACGTGTAAACTGTGCACATACATACACAGACGTCTAGACCATTGTACTATTCTTGTCTTCTGTTTTCCATTGATTCAATCGTCCTTCTTCTTCTTCTTCTTAGTATTATTATTAAAATTAATAGTAGTATTCTATCATCTGCTATTCTTTCATGTTAGGTATAACGGTTATTGTAATACAACAGCTGGGCTGTTATTCCTTATTCTATTATATATCCTCTTCTCTTCTCACTTCCTTCCTTTGTTTGTCTGTTTATCTATTTGTTTGTTGGTTTTTTGTTTGTTTATTTACCTATTTATTGATCAAATTGAAGTTGTCTGAAATTGTGTATATAGATGTTTACAATCCATACACACATTTTTCCTTTATTCTGGCCAGTTTTAATTTGTCTTCATTATTATCTTCCTCTCTCTCTCTCTCTCCCTCTCAAACACGCTATTTACTTTACTAATTTCTTCACTCTATCTCTCACCGTCTATGTTTTCTTTCTTTCTCCCTCTCCCTCTCTCCGTGTGTATATGCGTGTGTGTTTGTTTAAGAGAATGACAGAGAGAGAGAGAGGGTGGATCTGTTTAGGTACACATATACATTCATTCATGTATAGTAGACTGTTTATGGGTTAAACTGTGACATCATATTGATTAATTGTTATTATGATGGCTGATTTTCAGACAAGATTATCGATTTAAGGACTGATTTTTATTTATAAAGAGAGAGAGAGAGAGTAACATAAAGTGTGTGTGTGTGTGTGTACGTTTTATTTATTTTGGAAAGCTTTGTTTCTTCCTTTATATATAATATAATTATTATTTTGTATCGTTTAGTTCCGGCTTATGTGTTTATTGTTCTTATATACATTTATGTTACAATTGCATAACAATTGTCTACTAATTAATTAGTCAGTCTTTGTTTGATAGACCTTAACTGTCTTATTGTGTATTATTCCTAGTATTATTTACTAATGAGTTACTTCAATTTAGTATTGGTGTGATCTTAAAATTCTGGTTTCAATCTCTGATAGGGTCATCGTTGAACACTTCTTCTTATGAGAAGTTCCATATTAGGATGAAGCAGTAGTTAAGTGCCCCTTGGCACTCATTACACATTTTACTTTGTAGTATATTTTTAGTATTTAATAATAACTCGCACAATTTCGTGGATTGGTTAAGGTTAGATATTAACACCGTTGGTTGACGGCTCAGTGGTCTGTAGATTAAATGTTCGTGAGCGAGGCTGAAGGTCCTGTGTTCAAGTCCTGTGAACAGAATCGTGGATGCGCACTGCTGAGGAGTCTCACAATAGAATGAAACAGCCGTCCAGTGCTTTCAGGTTTTCAACGGTGGTCTAACATCAATCTGTTCATGATCTCAATCAATAGTAACTTCATTAA